AAAAGGACAATATATGTTAGCGGTGGGCTTGGGCCGTTACAGCTTGATTGCGATAAATTACGTTACAATTATCATTACCCAACTGCATGTATTATCAATAGGGAGCTTTACCGTATTTGAATCGATAAGCTGTTGTGGCTATCTTTGGCATCAGAGTCATTCTTGCATGCTGTAGAAAGTCTTTGAAGAGCTTTTTCCAAGGAAATAGAGATTTTGAAGGCAGAAATATATTAAGTTGGAGTACTTGAAATTAGATATTGAGTTATGTGAATTTAATTCTTTGCCATTTACTAAGTCTGTTCTTAATCTTGCTTTCCCACCGGACCCGAAACGATGGAGGGATTGGCTGCTCCTCTCCGACATAAGTTCAGATAAAGCATCAGCCAATTAATAGTGCTCTGAAAGAGTATTGAGGCATGCTGATTTGTTTAATACAGTGATTTCTATTTTCTTGCACAGGCTGTGTGGGCCTTAGGTAATGTTGCTGGCGACTCTCCCACTTGTCGGGATCTTGTTCTTAGCCACGGTGCACTCGTGCCATTACTTTCCCAACTAAACGAGCACTCGAAATTATCCATGCTGAGGAATGCAACATGGACTTTATCTAATTTCTGTCGTGGGAAGCCGCCCACACCCTTTGAACAGGTTTATATTTCAGTCGACCTCGTCAATTCCAGATCCAACTTTGAATTTCTTTGTAACATATACTTTTCCATTATCATGATCCTTGTTGGTGATTAACTTGCATTTACTCAGGTGAAACCTGCTTTACCAATTCTCAGGCAACTGATTCACTTGAATGATGAAGAAGTTCTAACCGACGCCTGCTGGGCTCTCTCCTACCTTTCAGACGGCCCGAACGAAAAAATTCAGGCTGTAATAGAAGCAGGAGTTTGTCCTAGACTTGTAGAACTTCTGCTGTAAGTTCGTGTATCTTTTAAGTTCTCAAACAAACACATTAATTCTTAGAATTTTGATAACCGAGGCTGTGAGAGTCTAACATCGATTGGGGAGGAGAACGAAACACCCTTTATAAGGGTGTGGAAACCTTTCCCTAGCAGACGCGTTTTAAAGCCTTGAGGGGAAGCCCGAAAGGGAAAGCCCAAAGAGGACAATATTGGACAATATTTGCTAGCGGTGGGCTCGGGCTGTTACAAATGGTATTAGAGCCAGACATCGGACAATGTGCCAGCGAGGAGGCTGTTCCTCAAAGAGGGGTAGACACGAGGCGATGTGCCAGTGAGGACGCTGAGCCCCAAAGGGGGGTGGATTTGGTGGGGGTCCCACATTGATTGGAGAAAGGAACAAGTGCCAGCGAGGACGCTGGGCCCCGAAGGGGGTGGATTGTGAGAGTCCCACATTGGTTGGGGAGGAGAACGAAACACCTTTTACAAGGGTGTGAAACCTAGCAGACGCGTTTTAAAGCCTTGAGGGGAAGCTCAAAGAGGACAATATCTGCTAGCGGTGGGCTTGAGCCATTATAGAGGCGCCGACTCCTCATTTCTTAATACTACTGAGTGCTAGAACATATCAATGCCTTTCTTAATACTACTGAGTGCTAGAACATATCAATGCCTTTGCTCTTAGTGATCATACAAAATTTGTTTCTGTTCTTTTATCTGTTACTGAACAAAATTTGTGTCTGTTAGCCACCAATCGCCGTCAGTTTTGGTGCCAGCTCTTCGTACGGTCGGAAACATCGTTACTGGTGATGATGCTCAAACACAGGTACCTGCGTAAATTGTTTATTGATGGCCTTTCCATTAGTTTAATTTCTTGATGCATTAATCATTTTGCTAATCTTGTCCTGTAAATCTGCTTTTTCTTGTCAATCTCATTGACTTTGCTGATGTTTTTTTTTCTCCTGTTCCAGTTTGTGATTGACAACCAAGTTCTACCTAATCTCTATCAACTTCTCACTCAAAATCACAAAAAAAGCATCAAGAAAGAAGCTTGTTGGACAATCTCCAACATCACCGCAGGAAATAGAGCTCAGATACAGGTACCAAATTGCCTCCGGCTTTAGTTTCGGTTTTTTGAAAGAAAGTGGCCGAGTTTGGTCCTTGTTTGTTTGCGTTTGCAAGTCGTCCGTGACATGAAGAATCGATTTTCTCATCGGGTTTGTAGGTTATTACTTAGAAGAAATGTCACTGAAACTTAGTAAAACGTTCGAGGTGTCTGTTCAACATGATTATAATGTCGAATTGCGGTATGTGCAGGCAGTAATCGAGGCAAATATTGTCCTTCCTCTTGTTCATCTCCTTCAACATGCAGAATTTGACATCAAGAAGGAGGCTGGGTGGGCTATTTCCAATGCCACCTCCGGAGGATCTCATCAGCAGATTCAGTAAGAAATAGTTTGTTTAGTTCTTGGCGTGTTATGATTTACTCCGCTGTATAAACTCTCGTACCAAAATGAAGAAGCAGGATCTTATCTGGTAGATCCCACCTCAGTTAGAGAGGAGAACTTAACATTTTTTATAAGGGTGTGGAAATCTCTCCCTAGTAGACGTGTTTTAAAAACCTTGAGAGGAAACCCGAAAAGAAAAGTGCAAAGAGGACAATATCTGCCAGGGATGGGCTTGGACTGTTACAAATGGTTTCAGAGCCAGTCATCGGGCGATGTGCCAGCAAGGAGGCCGAACCTGAAGGAGTTGGACACGAGGCCTTGTGCCAACAAGGACGCTGGGCCCCGAATGGGGGTGGATTGGAGGATCCCACATCGATTAGAGAAGGGAACGAGTGCTAGCGAGGATGCTGGGCCTCGAAGGGAGGTGGATTGTGAGATCCCACCTCGGTTGGAGAGGAAAACTTTGCATTCTTTATAAGAGTGTGGAAACCTCTTCCTAGCAGACGCGTTTTAAAAGACTTGAGGGGAAACTCGAAAGAGAAAGCCCAAAGAGAACAATATCTGCTAGCGGTAGACTTAGCTGTTGCATTATCCATCATCAGGTGACAATCTTTGTTATAAGACAAACATGTCAAACTGTAACAAGTCTAATACCTGAATCGACAGCCCCCGTATGATATGATCCAAATCCTCAAAAGCACTTTTACGAAGAGCGTTTTGCTGTTTTTATACCCTTCACAAATGTATCTATAAATGTGCTCCTGGTCTAGTATAGTAGATAACAGGCTTATCAGCAGATTGTCTGGCATTGATTATTGACTCATTGGTTCAACTTTAGCAGTGTTTTTGCTGGACAAAGCATAATCATTATTTGATACAGGTATCTGGTTACTCAAGGTTGCATCAAACCGCTCTGTGACCTTTTGGCCTGTCCCGACCCACGGATCGTGACAGTATGCCTGGAGGGGCTCGATAACATCCTGAAGGTCGGCGAGGCTGACAAGGACATGGGAATGAACGGAGGAGTAAACATCTACGCTCAAGCCATTGACGAATGCGAGGGACTCGATAAGATTGAAAACTTGCAGACTCACGACAACAACGAGATCTACGAGAAGGCAGTGAAGATGTTGGAGAGATACTGGGCGGAAGAAGACGAGGAGCCAGAGCAGAACCCGCAGCAGAACGGAGACGTGAATCAACCGGGGTTTGCATTTGGTACAAACCAGCCAAATGTTCCACCTGGTGGGTTCAAGTTCGGGTGAAATGTGTTGCATCAAAAGATTTGTAGGTGGCTTGTTCTTGTTTGGTTGTTGATTGGTGTAGTGAAGATTCAAGTTTTTATATTTGCTTAGCTGGTGTTTGTGGTTCACAAGGGTCAGGGTTTTTGATCTGGTCCACGGCTGTTACTTTTCTGGAGTTTTGTTTTTCTTTGTTCTTTTTGGTCAGCCAGCGTTTATCTATGTCAACCCTTTTCCTTTCCTTTTAATACTATTTTGCTTTCATTAGTATCCAAAACTTGACTTTGTACTCATACACAACATATATACATATTGGTCTGTTCTTCTATAACTAGGCCGGGAGATCGAATCATCGATTTTTAGAATGGTAATTGGTGCTTTATTCATCTACTTATGCTGAATTCACTAATATCTCTGCTTGGTGTCACAATCGCACTCTTGTAGCAATGGGACAACGATTGTACGATACTGTTCTAACTCAGTGAACAAGTTAGCCATGAGAAAATTGATGCAAGTTCGTTATTACGGGTAGTTCCTACAAAGGATTGGACTAATGACCTATACAATACTTGAATTCTCGGTACGTAGTTGGTTCTCATCCTTTAGAGACTACGAGTGTAATAGGAGCATCTGTCGACAAAAGGATCACCAATCAAATGGTTCTATTTTTCAATCTTTCTGACTTGCTCCTACTGAACTAAGGTTGAAAAGATTGAGAAAAATCGGTCATTCACAAGCACTGATGAAGGATTCCTCGAAAAATTGGTCTCAGGTCAAGTTTGTGAGAAATGTTTTAGAAAATGTGAAGCGAGGAAATGCATTTGAAAATGTTACATGTCTATAAGCAAAAAAAGAAATATGAAGAAGTGACAACTAATCATATTCGTTTTGGGTTATGTTAGCCTTGATGGGTGTAGACATGATTTTGGTGAACGATCATACTCTGTATTCATACAACATGAAATGGTAAAGAGCTATTTAAGATGAAAGCATGTAAAAAGAGTTTTAAATGGGTACGAGACCATAGACAACACGTCTTGGACAAGCATGATCGGGATAACTAAAGGTAGGAAGAAGTGACAACTAATCATATCCCATGTTTTGGGGCATTTTAGCCTTGACGGGTGTAGACATAATTTTGGTGAACGATCATACCCTGTATTGATACAACATGAAATGGTAAAGTGCTATCTAAGATGAAATCATGGAAAAGGAGTTTGGAACGGGTATGAGGTCATGGACAACACGCCTTGAACAAGCATGACTAGGATATCTAACATACAACGCCTTAGACGAGCGTTGACACTTGTTGTATTCATATCTTACAAATATTTAAATCTTTTTTTAAGAAAGGAACAAAATCTATAGAATAATTAAACCTTTATTCTCTAATTTAACATATAAAGGAAAAAAAAAAAAAAAAAAAAAAGAACCATCTCAAATCTCTACACTTCCCCACTTTCATCGCCTCCGTTCAACCTTTATTACTTGAAACGAGACTTCTTTTGGGGGGCGGAGGCCGGAGGGACTTGTACACTGAGTAAAAGCTTGCTCAAAACGCGCCGCCGTGTTCTTCGTGTTCATGTTGTAAGCGAACGATTGGAAGTGGGTCTGACCTAGAAGTTAAAGGTACCCCTAATACCCGAAACTTAAGAGGGTATCTTCATTTTCCATTTTCCGAATTGCAGGGTGCAGAAACATACAATCTTGTCCACAATCTGAAGCTAAGTGGCTAGAACAAGTCAAGGAACGATGCAGAATCTAGTCCAGAAACTTCTGCCTAGAACAACGTTCAAGCAAGTGCGTTTTCGTCACTCTCTTTTGTACCCCAGCTGCAAATAATTATCTATTTTTGTGTTGTTGAATTGAGTTCTTCTTCATATGTTGTAACCCAGTTTGTGATGCTGCTTGGTTTCAAAATCACTCGCTTTTTTCTCCAGAAATGAGCTTCTTGGGAGACATTTTACCCTTTTTTCAATATAATTGTAGAAGTTCTTTCATATATCGGTGTTGGATGGAATTTGATCTTTTATAATTTTTAGGGGAGGAGTTTTCTATGCTTGTTGGTTTGTTGTGCAAAGCTTTAGGCTCAATCCTCCACTCGAAATTTCTTTGTTCGACACTTGAGTCACTTTTGACTATATCTTCGAGGCTCACAATTTCTTTGTTCGACATTTGAGGATTCTATTGACATGCCTCAGTTAAGGGCATGACTCTGATACCATGTTAGGAATTACGAACCTCCACAATGGTATGATATTGTCCACGTTGAGCATAAGCTCTCATGGCTTTACTTTTGGTTTTCCCAAAAGGCTCATACCAATGCAGATGTATTCCTTACTTATAAACCGACGTGAGACTCCTCTTCCAACAATCCTCAATATCTATGGGCTCCTTTTCAAATTCCTTTTTGATAAGAATCTTAGAGACGAGCCTTTTATCTTAACTCTTTTGGCTCTTTGGGTAATCCTGTCTCCCATTTTTTTTTAATTTTTATTTTGTATTTATTTTTTTTCATCTTTGATCGACGAAAACTTCACCCCATTTCAACATAATCCTGTTTCAAGTCCTGAAAGTACAGAGCCTTCTAATTACTTCTTCAGATTTTGTTGATGTTGTTGTATTTTGGTTTGTAGGCTGTTGCTTTTCGGGCGTATTGTACTAATAAGATACTTGACATTGGACAGCCTACCGCTTCATCTCATCCACAGGTTTGATACGACATAATGTATTGAGTCGATGCGCTAGGATTGCCTCTATTATGGTTATATTTAATACTTATGGGGATCATTTGTTAAAGTTTCAAGAAATATAGTCACTTAACTCCTGGACCTTGTAGTTGCTGAATGAAGGAGAAATTACTCCTGGAATAACTGCTGAGGAATACATTACAAGAAGAAAAAGGTTGCTAGAACTTCTACCACAGAATGGTTTGGCCATTATTGCTGCTGCGCCTGTGAAAATGATGACTGATGTGGTGCCTTACACGTTTCGACAAGACGCTGATTACTTATATATCACTGGTTGCCTACAACCTGGTGGCTTGGCGGTTATGAGTCATGAATTTGGATTGTGCATGTTCATGCCTGAAACAAAGCCTTATGTATGTCTGGTCTTATTTATTTTATAAAAATGTTCTTGTGTGCACATCTGCATTTCTTTTCGTTTTTCGTGTATTCACTTCGTAATGCCATCATTTTCTCATCCTCATTGGCTACTTTAGGAGGACGTTATCGATAAGGAGATAATAAACAAATATGATGGGAAAAGATGGGCAAGAAAGATCAAAGATTACCAAACCAAATTAGGTTTTCTCTGCTACATAAAACAAACTCGAGACATGGAAGGAAAAAATGAGACCTTGGAATGTATTTACGAGGACTGTGATTAGGGGACTCTTTGAATCAATATAGGAACTTTGAGATCCCACATCGGTTGGAAAGGAGAACAAGACATTCTTTGTAAGGGCGTGGAAACCTCTCCCTAGTAGACACATTTTAAAAACCTTGAGGGGAAGTTTGAAAGTGAAACCCCGAAAGGGAAAGCCCAAAGAGGACAATATCTGTTAGCGGTGGGCTTGAGTTGTTACAAATGGTATCAGAGCTAGACACAGGGTGAGGTGCCAATGAGGAGGCTGAGCCCCGAGGGGAGTGGACACGAGGCGGTGGACTTGGGCTTGGGTTGTTACATTTTTCCTATCAATTAACCTAAATGAACTTTGTTTTATGAATGTGAGGTAGCAACCAAGTTCTTCTGCTTGTGTGGCATTATGTTGGCTAATTTCATAAGAATACAAGTTGATTATGGGAGTGGATGCCATTTTTTCACATTTTTATGGGTAGTCGGTCTGAAGATTTTTCATCTTGTTCTTCTGCTTGTGTGGCATTATGATGGCTTGTTTGATTATATCAGGATGTTCTTTGGCAAGGGCAAACTGCAGGAGTTGATGCAGCATTGGAATTTTTCAAGGGTGATCAAGCATATCCAATGAAGAAATTGCGTGAAGTGAGTTCATTGAAGGAGATTTATTGTTCCATCTTTTAATATGATTATGGTGGAAACATACTGATGCGACCAGCATCGTTCATGAGATTGTGTCGAAAATTCTGAATTTAAACGCCGGTTTATATGTACTTTTTTCATTTGTTTTAATGAAAAGGTTTCAATTCTTGTTTTTTTCGAAAAAAAAACTGGTCTTTGTGGAATTGAATGAAGCATTCTCACTGTTCATGAAGTCCTTTCAATATTTCTGTATTTGATTACAGATCCTTCCAGATATTATTAGGAGGTCCTCCAAGTTGTTTCATAATTCGAACACTGCGACTCCAACTTATTTGGATTTAGAGGCCTTTCGAAAAGCGGCAGAGAATAACTGTGTGAAAGATATTTCACTTTTTACTCACGAATTGCGGTTAATAAAATCGACAGCAGAGCAGAAGTTAATGAGGGATTCTGCTTCAATTGCTTGCCAGGTACCTCCAACCCTTTTGTTGCTTATAGGAGATAGTGTTTCATCCTGAATAGTTTCATTTTCGTATGGTTTTCCCGTAGTTCATGGCCTCTATGAGCTTCTTTTCGGCTGGTGGTTTAAAAAGAAAGCTAAGATTTTGTGGTTGAATGCTTTGTTGAGGATGGTTGGGAGGGAGTTCCACGTTGGCTAATTTAGGGAACGATCATGAGTTTATAAATAAAGAATACATCTCCATTGATATGAGACCTTTTGGGGAAGTCCAAAGCAAAGCCTTGAGAGCTTATGCTCAAAGTGGACAATATCATACCATTATGGAGAGTCGTTATTCCTAACATGGTATCAGAGCCATTCCTTTAATTTAGCCATGTCAATATAATCCTCAAGTGTCGAACTTGCTAGTTTCGAAGGTGTAGTGAAAAGTGAGTCATGTGTCGAACAAAGGGTGTACTTTGTTCGAGGGCTCCAGAGAAAGGGGTCGAGCCTTGATTAAGGGGAGACTGTTTGAGGGCTACATAGACCTCAGTGGAGGCTCTATGGTGTACTTTGTTCGAGGGAGGATCGTTGGGAGGGAGTCCCACATTGGCTTAATTTAGGGAATGATCATGAGTTTATAAATAAGGAATACATCTCCATTGATATGAGGCCTTTTGGGGAAGTCCAAAGCAAAGCCACGAGAACTTATGCTCGAAGTGGACAATATCATACCATTGTGGAGAGTCGTTATTCCGAACATGCTTGCAGAGCTCTTCTTTGGGGTTTATGGAAAGAAACAAACTGCTTTTTCCGCAGATTCCGAAGTTTATTTATGAAATGATAAACGTTATTCTTTGACTTGAAAAAAAAAACCCTTCAACTTGAGGGTGGATCAATGAAATTTCATGATAATGCCATAACTATTTCTGCACCATGCTGTGTGTTTTAGTTCTTACAAATGATGCTTACTGTTGGTTTTCTGGGTTCAGGCTCTTTTGCAGACGATGATTCATTCAAAGACATATCCTCATGAGAGTATGTTATCAGCAAAGGTGGAATATGAATGCAGAATGAGAGGTGCTCAAAGGATGGCGTGAGTACTCTTCATATTTCGATGTGTACACGTTCGAGATGCTTGCATTGTATTCTTAATATCAGTATGCTGATTCGATAGGCGACATTAAATTATGAACTGATTTTCAATTTCCTTTCTCTGTACAGATTTAATCCTGTGGTGGGTGGTGGGTGTAATGGTAGTGTTATACATTATTCTCGAAATGATCAGAAAGTAAGTACATTTACATGTGGTGCTTAAGCCTCACTATTATGAAGGATGAAAAATATATGAATGTTCATACGTATATACGTGAAAAATGCAGGTCAGAGACGGGGATTTTGTTCTAATGGATGTAGGATGTGAATTGCACGGTTATGTTAGTGATCTTACTCGTACCTGGCCGCCTTGTGGAAAGTTTTCTGCCGCTCAGGTATTGTTTCTTTATCTCAGCCATTTCTTGTTTTCCCGAGTTCTGACGATCTTCTCTATGTTTGCTTTTGTGAACGTGAAAGTCTTTTGTTTGGATAGACCACCGTGCTAACTACCATCACTACTCTTCAAGCAATGATTATGTGTGTGAGATCTCACATCGATTGGAGAGAGGAACGAGTGCCAACGAGGATACTAGGCCTCGAAGGAGAGTTGATTGTGAGATCCCACATCAGTTGGAGAGGGGAACGAAACATTCTTTATAAGGGTGTGGAAACCTCTCCCTATCAAACACATTTTAAAAACCTCGAGGGAAAACCTGAAAGGGAAAACCCAAAGAGGACAATATCTGCTAGCGATGGGCTTGAGCTGTTACAAATGGTATCAAAGCCAAACACTAGGCGGTGTGCCAATGAGGACGCTGAGCTGCAAAGGAGGTAGACACCAGGCAGTGTGCCAGCGAGAATGCTGGGCCCTGAAGGGGGTGGATTGTGAGATCTCACATCGATTGGAGAGAGGAACAAGTGCCAGCAAGGACACTGGGTCCCGAAGGGAGGTGGATTGTGAGATCCCACATCGGTTGGAGAGGGAAACGAAGCATTCTTTATAAGGGTGTGAAAACCTCTCCCTAGCAGACGCATTTTAAAAGCCTCGAGGGAAAGCCCAAAGAGGACAATATCTGCTAGCGGTGGACTTGGACTGTTGTTTATAACATTTCTTTAAGCATCCGATCTTGTTTTTTTCTATTGGATCCTACCTTTCTTTCTTTCTTTTCTTTTTTGTGTCCCTCAATTTGCTTAGTTGAATGTATCTCAGGAAGAGCTCTATGAGCTTATACTACAAACAAACAAGGAATGCATAAAGCTTTGCAAACCCGGCGCTACTATATTGGAAATTCATAACTACTCGGTAAGTTTGGCGTTTTGATTCATTGTTCAACACCTCTAGAGGAAGCTTACATAGTCTTTCTAAAGTTTCTTTTGTAGCTATTTTCGATTTCTTCCATTTTGGTCGGTTCCTCGATTAACAAGCTCACACGGTAACCGAAAAACATCACGACCCTTCTCATATCCTACACTTATGCAGGTGGAAACGCTCCGGAAAGGCTTCAAGGAGCTTGGGATTTTGCAAAACTGGAAAAGCGATTTCTATCACCATCTAAATCCCACTTCTATAGGTTCTTTTTACCTTCTATAAGGACTTCTTTTTAGTGCTATGCTACCTTTTTTCTTCACCAACGCATAGCCCCATCAATTACTTGATATCCATTCCTCATTGGCAACCTGAGTAACCTTTATTTTTTCTTTTGGATTCCCTTTCTTAGGTCATTATCTTGGTATGGACGTCCATGATTGCGCCAGGGTTGGTTACGATCGACCGTTGAAGCCAGGTGTTGTAAGTTTTGTTCCGATTCATTTGTATGGATACTGATTCTCTCTTTATCCGTCTTCCCGTCCCTTCATGTGCACACGTTTATCCCATCTATTACTGTTGTGAGCTTAAAATCGAATTGTACAACTTTTGCTTGTGACGGTAGACATGATAGAACTTGTCAGTCACAATGTCATTTGTCTGAGTATAATAGAGTATTTCCCATTATTTGGAGACAAGTTGAATATCGGTGCACTGGGATTTGTAATGCTAACGATTAATGTGTAACGGCCCAAGCCCACCGCTAGTAGATATTGTCCTCTTTGGACTTCCCTTCAAAGTTTTTAAAACGCATCTGCTAGGGAGAGGTTTTCACACCCTTATAAAGAATGCTTTGTTCTCCTCCCCAACCGAGGTGGGATCTCACGCTCCACCCCCCTTCAGGGTCCATAGTTCTCGCTGGCACTCGTTCCCTTCTCCAATCGATGTGGAACCCCCCAATCTACCTCCCTTCGGGGCTTAGCCTCGTCGTTGGCACATTGTCCAGTGTCTGGGTCTGATACCATTTGTAACTGCCCAAGCCCACCCCCAGTAGATATTGTTCTTTTTGGGCTTTCTCTCAAGGTTTTTAAAATGCGTCTGTTAGGGAGAAGTTTCCATACCCTTATAAAGAATGTTTCGTTCTCCTCCCCAACCGATGTGGGATATCGTGTTTGGATATTTATTTTAAATTCGATTTCTAAAATCTTATTGATTCATTGCAGGTAATAACAATTGAACCTGGAGTTTACGTCCCATCCTCTTTTGAAGGTTCAGAGAGGTATATACACATAGGATTCTGTTCTTCAATATTGTAACTCTCATCTTTTGTTGTACTTTTTTCGACAAAATTTTCTCACTAGAGAATGTACTCGGCAGGTTTGCTGGTATCGGGATTAGGATAGAGGATGAAGTCCTTATAACTGAATCAGGTCACGAGGTATGTGGTTCGAGTCCGAGTTTTTTATGGGTGGTTCTGGTCATATTTTGGCTCAGTTATCATATTGGCCCCAATGGCTATTGATACTATTTCCTGAATAGTGCAAGTTGGGTTGAACTTATGCTGCTTTGAATTTCGAATATATCGTATGTTTTAATGATGACATAGACCGAAAATGGCTGGTAGACCTTCTCATACATTGTATGCTATAGAGCTGGTGTTCTCGGCTGTAACGGCCTAAACCCACCGCTAGCTGATATTGTCCTCTTTGGGCTTTTCCTTTCGGGTTTCCCCTCAAGGTTTTTATAATGCGTCTGTTAGGGAGAGGTTTCTACACCCTGTTAGGAATCACGACTCTCCACAATGGTATGATATTGTCCACTTTGAGCATAAGCTCTCATGGCTTTGCTTTGGGCTTCCCCAAAAGGCCTCATACCAATGAAGATAGTATTCCTCACTTATAAACCCATGATCTTCCACTAAATTAACCAATGTGGGACACTCCCAATCCCAATAATCCTCAACATGTTGAAATATCATCACTAGCTCAATAGAGTCAAGCCCAATAATTGTACTAGCCCAATAGAGTCAAGCCCAATAATTGTACGAGCCCAGTATATTTATTTTAGTAGAGATTTTAGGAGAAAGAGATCTAAATATTTTAGGAGAAAGATTTAGATTTGTTAGGTCTAGATTTAGATTGGTTAAATATAGATGGTTTAGGTTCAGTATAAATACCCCACCCTACCTAGGTTATTCATCCAAGAAATCTAAAAACAATAAAAAGCAGAAGTATTCTACAGAGTGTCTTGTATTCTCTTCTCGATTGGTCTTAATAAAGAGAGCGAGTGTTTCCCACAGTGAGTTGTGTTCAACACACCCTTATAATGAATGTTTCGTTTTCCTCCCCAACCGATGTGGGACCTCACAATCCATCCCCTTCGGGGCCCAACGTTCTCGTTGGCACTCGTTCCCTTCTCCAATCAATGTGAGACCCCCCAATCCACTCCCCTTCGGAGTCCAGTGTTCTTGTTGGCACACCACCTCGTGTCCACCCCCTTCAGGATTCAACCTCCTTTCTGACACATCGCCCGGTTTTCTGCTCTGATACCATTTGTAACAGCTTAAGCCCACCGCTAGAAGATATTGTCCTCTTTAGGCTTTCCTTTCAAAGTTTTTAAAACACTGCTAGGGAGAGGTTTCCACACCCTTATAAAGAATGTTTCGTTCTCCACCCCAACTGATGTGGGATCTCACACAAGCGTTCTTAGTTTGATTATATATTACAAGCGTTCTTAGTTTGATTATATATTACAATGTCTGGTTATGAAATCAATTTGTTTTTCCTCTTATATACTTGGGAATGAATCAGTGGGTTATACTTTCTTGTCTCAGGTTCTTACAGGTTCAATCCCAAAAGAAATTAATCAGATAGAATCAATGCTGAACAACTTCTGCTTTGGATCTACGATGCATGGCTTAAATTTTATGAAAGCCTCAACCAGTTGATCAAATGTACACTCAGCAATCCAATTGGAGAAGCTTCACTCTTTAGATGTATTCCTTTATCTCTGAGAATCAAGACTAGAAAGAGGCTTGCAGGCAGTGATCGGGTTAGTGTTTATTCAGTTCTTTCGGTCGAAGTCTCGTTTAATAACTGGCTGGTTTTTTATATTAAAAAAACAAATGATTATCAAAACGGAGTAGAAATGTTTTGAGTGTTAAATAATATGGTGGAATGCAAGGCAATGATATGATATGATATTTGAAGCAATATTCGAGTCAGGGTTGGATGGGTCGGGATTATAGCTTGGCGTTAGTGATGTGCAAATGTGGGGTGTGCTCAGATGATGGTGAAATGATGTGTGTGGATCTTTTTCCAATTTAAACACGATCTGATATGAACCACGATCAAGAAATTTCCATACCTCAAGGTCCAATTACAAGAACGAGAGTCAAGAACCTACAACAAACCTTGTACACTTATATTCAAGCTATGATGAGCTCATAAAAAAAATTCTAGATGTTGAAGACCTCCCTTAAATAGTGAATGAAATGTGCTTATTAGTCATTCTTGGACTAGTTCCATAAATTTAGCTGAGTGATTAAATGCAACTTAAAGTGCATTTAATGCATCTCTTTCTTGAAGTTCCACTTTACACAACATATAAGGGAAGGGAGGTCTCCAACGTCTTCTAGAATTTCCTTTGATGAGCTCACCATAGCTTGAATATAAGTTTACAAGGTTTATTGTAGTTTCTTGGCTCTCGTCCTTGTAATTAGACCTTGAGGTATGAAAATTCCATGGTTGTGGTTCATATCACGATCGTTGTCATTGCTATTGAATGGATGACATTGCTCAAGTATCGACATTGAGATGTGAAGATTCCAAGAGTTCCATTGTCGAAAGATAGTAAAACTCACCGAGCATGCTTCCGAAAGTGGCTGAAGAGACACTCTCATTGTCTCAGCATCATCCACACGAGCCCATAATTTGCACATCACTCATATTCCTGGCATTTCATCTCCACCTCGATACAAGCATTTGACTCGACTCAAGTATCGCTCGGGATCCCTTTCATTGTCTTCCACAACGACTATATTATCAATCACTACTATAACTAGCCGTTTTTCTTTTACCATCTTTATACATTAATTCCATTCATATGGTCATGGACAGGAGGTTGGAGGTAGCAGCTGGTTGGGTTAGGTACATTCATTTCATTAAATTTTGCATTGGATATTTATAAGAAGCAAGCAGAAATAGTTTGAAATAATGTTCATACATAATGTAATAATGTTCTCATGGATTGTATTTGGTTATGACTTACAAGCCCATCTTCTGAACTTCTCACCTACTCAATTTGTTCATTTCTATCAAACATTTATCACTTCAAACTCTCTAAGATAAAATATTTTACGCTATGGTCGAGCTGCATACCATGTTTGAAGGCAATTAGAGCCTAGTTACGTAACAATCCAAGTCCACTGCTAACAGATATTGTTTGGTTTGGTTCATTACATACTGCCGTTAACCTCACGGTTATGAAATGCATCTACTTGGGAGATGTTTCCACACTCTTATAAGTGCTTCGTTTCCCTCCCCGATAAGTAACTTGTGTGGAGAAAAACCGGGTTAAGAAGCTTACAAGAGTCGAGGCCAAGGAGCTCTTGGTTGGCTCTTAGTCTGCGAAATCTAAGTTCACGACCCACCCACCGGAGAAATCACGTTTCAAGTCTCTGACCGGGCTGTCGAGAACTTCCCGTGTTGGCTTTTCGAGGTTGAAGAATTCAAGAATGTGGAAGAGAAGAATAAGAACACAACATAGAGGTGGAATACAAGTAAAACAGGTCTCATTTTAATTCTTTAAGCTTCACGGGAGACTCTTTCTGAAGTTTTTGATTTTCAGAAACACGGTAAGAAATTTACGTGTCGTAACCGTGTAAAACGAAGGGCGGGAATATATTATGTGAAATAATGTACAGATAGATGTTCAGAGAGAACCCACAGATCAATATTCAGGCTGTCTCAGTTCTAAAGTAAATCTATATGATTGATTGGCTGACAGAATCAGCTTGCAAAACAGGCAAGCTTTCAAGTTTCTGCAATCCTTTAGAACTTTGAACTAACTCTTATAATCATTTGCTCTAACCTATAGCTGTACAGTATATTAATCGAAGACGATCTCGTTCTTGAAAGAATGAAGTTACCTTAGACAAGGATCTGTGACCGAGCAGCACCTCGAGAACATTTCTTCCTACCTGACTTGCTAAGCGCGCAAACACATATCTCAAGAAGCTCGTAATCCTCCTCCCAGAACAAAGATGATGCAAGCTCTGGATTCTCAACCAGCATTTTTGATGTCAGGAAACCAGCAATTGTCCATGTTTGATAGAGTCGGGATTGCTTTCCGATGAACTTTCCTGTTCGGGTGTCGTAATATTCAGGCCAGCGATCGATTGCAATTCTCTTCTCAGCCACAGCCACTGCTTTCTTGGCCATTTCGAGTCTGCCCATCTTGATGCATGCCAGTGTGAACTGCAATAGACGTCGACTTAAAATCGTTATATATGATCAGTTTTGTGGCTTAAGATTACACAAAGACCTATCGGTTTTACATTACCTGCCAAAGAAGTGTTGGCCACGATCCTCCATTATGGTATGACCACGGGCTGAAAAAGATCCAAAAAGAAGTTGAGTATTGTATGGCAATCAAGTAAGTAGATACTCTATGCAGATACGCATATAACTTACGTGTTTTTCGGGTCACTGCCGGTGATTATGCGCCATTCCTCGTACTCCAAAGCAGGGTAACATATCTTAAGAGGCATATGACCCACGAGATCACTCCATTTAGCATCAATGAGATTTAGAATAGCTTCATTTTGTTTCGGTGTACCCAAAGACGAAACGATGGACCAAAGATTTCCGAGTGTAAAAAACCGAAAATCCATATGAGCTGGTTGGAGATTGCCTATGAAATAACCTCCTTCCTCTGGTACCCAGTCCATTAGCCACTGAGGAATTTGTTCAGGATAGATGTTGAATTTGTTAGTAGCATCCATGGAGTATTCTTCGGTCTTATAACGATAGATCTCGTTGATCTTCTTCATATCGACCCAATAATATTCTCTGATATGGAACGATAGAGCACTTAGTCGATTGTTAATGGCCCTCACCAAGTTCTTCGACCCGTCATTCACGGTGAGCATTTCGCGAGAACACCTTAAAGCTGAATAAAACAAGGCCTGCAGAATCAAGCTTGTTACAGATGCAGGTGATGAACTTAAATGCAGGATGCAAGCTCATGTTTTTCACTCAAACTCACTTGTATTTCAAGGGGATGCCCATGAATGCCCATTCGACGATCGATCATGCAGGAACCATCAGTGACCAACAGCGAAGGGAACATGTCGAACCCATCTGTTAGACAGAGGTTAAGTATCATTTTCAAGCCAGTTTGGACATCCACCCTTTCTTGTAGAGCATAGTCCCCGGTGATTTTTCCGTACGCCCGTAAAAGGATGATCCACCATAATCCTACCAAAGAAGAGCAAACGACGACGACGATGAAGATCAAATGTTTCTAAACAGGGTACTCACTCAAAAGGAGAAATGTTTGGCTTCATGAATGAGAAAAACAGAAACGAATGACGTTATCATGTTACCTGAATCGACTGGTGCCACACGGCCTATGGCCGATTCACCGAAATCTGGATCCAAAACTTCTTCAAAATTATCGCCGTCAAGGGGAACGGTTCGGACTTTGAAGCTTGCAGGCATCAAGCCCTGTCCTGGGCTGTAACAATCTACTGTTTTCTCCCAGCTCTGGAAAAAGAAAAGTCCTCAATTAAGAAAATCAGCAAAAGGCTTGAGTAGAACACCATGAGAAGCCTATAATCTTGGAGACTCGATACGATCTAACCATATGATGGGCTAGGTTTCGAATATTCTCGGATTCCTTGATCCAAAGTGGCTTACAATATGTGCTCTTTATTTTGAAAATTGACCTATATTTGTTAATACTCCGATGTCCGATCTTCGTGTGCCCTTTCGGAAAATAAAAGCAACCCAAAATAAACATAAATCCTTTGAAACCAATCGAGCCGTAAAACCGAAGGAACCAGAATCAAAAGGCTCACTGACTGCCAAATGCCAAGAAAATTATCTCACTAAACTTGTACGTTTTCAAATATTATCATGACCCTTCTCGTACTTACACTTATGCAGGTGGAAACACTCCGAAAAGGCTTGAACAACACAACGGTCTAAATCCCACTTCTATAGGTTCTTTTTACCTTCTATAGGGACTTCGTTTTCGTGTTATGCTGCCTTTTTTCTTCACCAACGCAACGGTCCATCGGTTACTTGATATCCATTCCTAATTGGCAACCTGAGTAACCTTTAATTTTTCTTTTGGATTCCCTTTCTTAGGTCATTATCTTGGTATGGATGAACATGATTGCACCAGGGTTCGTTATGACCGACCATTGAACATAATAGACAACCCGTCGCTTAGTGTTGGTTTAAGGGTCCATGGAATTCCATATCATACATGCCCAAACAGAGCGATCGACATTGTGTAAAGTACTAGAAATTGTAGGGACAAAAAACATAACATAAACATTAAGAAAACGAAATGTATAACACAACCGATAAACAACATGAAAAACGGTACCTGTAACTGTAAGGTATGAAGGAGAAAGTTCTTCACAATCTCCCCTTCATTGTTCAGCAGGAACGCAAGAGCAGATGGAACGAAGTCTCGAATGAAGACCTGATCATAATTCAATGGTTGCTTATCAGCCGGATCATTTGCAGCCATGGTCCCAACCGGACTTCCACAATACGTAACGACAACGTCACGTAGCAACCTCCAAGCCTCTTTCTCAATATTAGACTTCTCTCTTGTCGAACTAACGACCTTGGCGTTGTTCAAACCCTCTAAGTTCTCCTCATTTACATCTTCACTAACAATTTCTATCCTAGAATCTTCCTCTCCTACAATATTCTCATCCTTATCAATCTTTTCAACAACCAGAGGCTTCACATTCAAACCACCCTGAACATATATCTTCTCAAAGTTATTGTCATTCACATGTTTCTCAATCGACCTCGAAAAATCACGAACATTCGACACAATTCTAGCAATTATAGACAAACCCCTTTTGGGTTTAGGGAGTATACTATAGCTATAAGACCTCATAATTACCCTAGATTGGCCATAACTTAAGCTAGCCACAGAAGATTTCTGGGTGCTATCTAAAATCCATTGAGACCTCGAGAAATGAAAAGGGTAAGAACTATATTGCCTAATAGAATGAAATTTGAAGCAAAAGTTCAAACAAGAATTATGAGGCGAAGTATTTAGGGCTTTTGCAGGTGAGAATCCAAAAACCCTAGAATTTCTACAGCTAATTAGAAGCCTACAAGAAGCTTTCATCGACGAATTATCAATCAAAGCAATCATGTTCATAACAATAAGAAATCAAATCGTGGAATATGAATAAGATTCAAGAACTTTACGCATAACAGTGGCGATTATCTTCGATTTCTGCGGCGAACTACGGAATCGAAATGAAAGGGGAGTTGGGATTGGTTGAAGAAGAATGGTATCTGAAATTCGGGAAGAAATCGAATGGTTCGAGGAAAAGTGAAGGACGGCTCGTTTTATAGAGATGAAATTAACGAGAAAAATGGAGGTGAAGTTGTGTAGATCGTGGATTTTCGTGGTGGGTTTTTATTTCTTGAATTAGAACAATTTTATTTTTTATTTTTGATATTTTTAACAAATCTATGAACCTTGTTCTTCGGGCAAGAATTCATTTCAAGATAATTTTTAGATTTCTTTCCATTTCAAGTGTGCTTTCACCATGAAAATTCACTCAAGTTTTAGCCTTTAGATTTTTTCTTAAAAAATCATTTTTTTTATTTTTGTTGAAATAAACTTTGAATTAACGTTACGATTATATTTTTTTGTCCGATATATATGCTTGGTCATGAGGTTAAAGGTCTGGATCCCGGGCTCCTACATATTGATGTTCAACAACAGTTGAATTATTACTCGGCCAGAAAAATTTGGATGTCTGAAATCGGTTGAATAATATAAAATAAAATTTATTATCCTTAAATATAAATATATCCAATTTCAATCCTTAAAAAAATAAAGAAAAATGCTCGTAATAAAATTGCCAAGTATAATTAATTAAATAATTATTTGATAAATGAGTTATGTTTTGACGGTTGAGCTATGTTTATATTGGTTAGAGACATAATTACAGAGAAAATAAAGAAACACAAAAACATGAGGATTTATGTTTAAAGTGGACAATATCATATTATTGTGGAGGTATGAAGATATTCATTATCCTCGTGCCCCAAAGGTTTTCATGTCTGTGCACAATCTCGAGTAACAAAGACAAGTGGGCAAACCTCGATGATGTGGTCATAATGATTTGTGATTGAGCTCTAATGGATAGATCACGTGCTCCAAAGAAGAAAAGCTACCCTGGATAAGAGTACGACTCTCATTGAGGTTGGAGACGTGCTTTGATGTCCCACATTGATTGGGGAGGAGAACAAACTACTGTTTATAAGGGTGTGGAAACTTTCCCCTAGTAGACGCGTTTTAAAGCCTTGAGGGGAAGTCCGAAAGAGAAAGCCCAAAGAGGACAAAATTTGCTAGCGGTGGATCTGGGGCGTTACAATGATATCAGAGCCAGACACTGGACGATGTGCCAACCTTCTTGCTGTTCCCCGAATGGGGTAGACACAAGGCAGTGTGCCAGTAAGGACGCTGGGCCTCAAAGGGGGTGGGTTTGGGGGCGGTCCCACATCGATTGGAGGAAGGAAAGAGTGCCAGCGAGGAAAGCGGGGTGGATTGTGATGTCCCACATTGGTTGGGGAGGAGAATAAACCACCATTTATAAGGGTGTGGAAACCTTCCCCTAGTAGACGCGTTTTAAAGCCTTGAGGGGAAGCCCGAAAGAAAAAGCCCAAAGAAGACAATAGGGGAAGCCCGAAAGGAAAAGCCCAAAGAAACAATATCTGCTAGCGGGAGGATCTAAGGCGTTACATGTGCGAACAGAAGTACGACTATTAGAGTGGAAGTTACGTGGTCCTTTGTTTGAGAGAAGATTATATTAGATTGCAACTAAAGTCTATCACTAGCTGCGAGTATATATGTGAGAGACAACATCTACGATTTGTTGTTATCACATATATAAAAGGTTAAGTAAGCAAATAAAACAATGAGTGTTCTTTTTTCTGCAAGAACGGAAAACACACCCGAACGGATGGAGAGAAATGAGTAGAGAGTGAAGAGACGCCCGAACGGATGGAGAAATGAGTAGAGAGTGAAGAGAATTTCATTTTCATGTTAGCTAAACAAAGCAGATCAAGACCAAAATTTTCATTGAAAATTATCTATTTAAATGAATATTTTTTAACGGACGTAATTTTGTTCGAACGAAGCTAAAAAAACGGAAAAAAAACTCTTCACAAGGAAACATTTTAAAAAAATTTAATAGAAAATTTCGTAGGGACGGAGGGTTAAACGGAGGGCACGATGGGGACGTGAAAGTCATTTCCGCCCAACAAATTACCTAAACAAAACCATGAATTACTTGTTTCATTGGGAGAAAGAGTCATCCCTCTAAGCCTTTTGGTACTTTCCTCACATGTAACCTCACTTGGTTGTTTTCCAAGAAAAATCCAAACAAATGACAACCAAATATCATGATGCCTCCTAAGTGTAACGAAGGTGTACGAAAGTAGGCTCAAGCTAAGTTCTGCTCGTGAGCATAATGGTATAAGCCTACCTGATTGGAAGATCGACTAGTCGAACAGAGACGAAAGTTAACCATAGTAATTCGAGAGTTTCGTGTGGAAGGCCTCTTGCTCAACAGATCAAAGGTACTCCCAAGAGCTCTTATCCATGGAGTCGTTTGACACCTCGATGTCGACTCATTACATACTAAATTGAAGAAGGTCTCGAGGGTTCGGTTGTTCGCCAATTCAACGTCTTTTGAAGTAACTTTGTCTTCCAAGCTCATTTTTTAACCAGCTTCTTGGTTCCAAAGGAAGCCACAGCCAAAACCAACAATGGGTTGCTCTCAAAATCTCACCTCCTTCATCCCTACTATTCTTTTGGCAGCTTTATGCAATCCTCCATAAAAATCTGGTCACCATTTGCTCTACAACCTCCAACCCGTCACTCGGCCAGAAAATCAACGATTCACATACAATCTCGGCCGACCTCCCGAACTCTCGCTTATATCCATTAATCTAACGATGAAGCAGGCCGATTGAATCTTGGATTCCTTCTCCAAACTAAGTAAGAATAAGAGTGATCCCGAGCAGAAGAAGAGTTTTGAGGATTGTGTAGAGTATTACCACGAAATCAAAACAAATATCCAAAAAGCTTACAAGTTCTCGAAGCAGCAGATCTACAAAGACAATGGTCCACTATTAGCATCAAATAAACGCTAATAAGCTCTTTTATGGTCGAGTGATAACTTTCACAAGTAAAGTTGACTTAAGTGATGATTTCAACCAAAAGCTGATTTAACAGATGATTTTAACCAAAAGCTGGTTAGAAGGATGAATAATTCTTAGATCGAACTCGGAATCTATGATAGTCACTTTTAAATACCAAGACGACTCACTCTAGAATTAGCTCGATCAAAACTAATCCAATGAATCAGTTTAATATCAAACCTAAAACAAGACCAAAAAGGTTTCACAGCTTTTGTATTCAACAATGATTTTAAACTTGAATATTCCATGCCTCCCAAAAGATAATTCAAACATAAACTTTAGTTCAACCACCCACTACCAATTAAAACTATTAAATAAAAATTGAAGAAAATAACACATGACACTACGAACACATGACTCTCCATTCTTTTCTATATTTTGATACTTAAATATTCTGGTGTGGGACTACCAGCTAATTTAGGGAATGACCATAGGTTTATAATCAAAGAATACTCTTTCATTGGTATGAGGCCCTTTTGGGAAGCCCAAAGCAAAGCCATGAGAGCTTATGCTCAAAGTGGACAATATCATAGCATTGTGGAGAGTCGTGTTCGTTTAACTTGATATCTTACTATTGCTCCTTCGGGTACATGCAATTGATTAGTGGTTGGATACAGAGATAAAGTTGTAAAAATTTGGGAATATATGGAAATGAAAAGCCAATCAAGGAAGTTTAGAAAAGGGTATTAGAACATTTAAGGAAGGAATTGAAATACCCCTCTATGGTATTCATATCAGATTTGCCTCACCCATTCTACCTAATAAACAACCAATTCATTCATTCATGTATATCTTCTTATCATACTTCAATTTGGGCTATTTAAAATGATATCATGAACCAAAAGAAGTAACTCTTACCTTGCTTCCAACATTAGCAGCAACGGAATCATGGCGTTCTCGGCGTGTTCTTCGCAACGGCTAGCCTTGTTCTTCGTGTTCTTCGTGTTCTTCATTGTTCATCCTGTCTTGGGTGACCCTGCAACGCAGCAACGGATCGACAGAGTATGTCGTCAAATGGAGGATTATGGATTTTGCAATAGAACCTTTAGTGAAAATCTGAGAGGTCCAGTAGATGATGTTGGCTTAACCTTGATAGCAAATGACCAAGTTTTGAGAAATGCGTCCAATACCTATGAGTTCATAGAGCAGCTTCAAGCTAGGACATCCGATCCAGCAACAAGAGCTGCACTTGAGAATTGCAGAATTGGTTGCAGCCAGGTCCGGGAAGCGTTTGAGCAGGCGAGTTATTACTTCAACAAAAGAGACTATGCCAGTATGGTCGAGGTTGAAAGGGATGCACCCAGAGGAGAGGCATTCTGTCGACCGCCGACGACGGCGAGCCGGTTGGTTGAGAGGAAGAGGGAATTGAGGATTCTCATTGCCATGGCTGTGGTTGCTGGTCATATACTAGCTCCTTGATCGACTCGGTTGTTGTTATGTATCGTAGTCAGCCTCATGGTTTTAAAACGCGTCTACTAGAGAGAGGTTTCCACACCCTAAGAAATGCTTCGTTCTCCTCTCCAATCGATGTAGGACCTGATGCTATCTCCTTTTATAGGTTGATAATAGAGAAAGGATTAATCCTACCGATCAAAAGTCGTTCAAAAGTCGTTCATGTGGCCTCTAAACAGTCTTTAACTCTACTTCCTTTCTGGCGCGACAAAATGCAATGACAAATGTTTAACATAAACAGCTACAAAGATGAGGTTTAGAAATCTAATTTTGCAGTTCCTGTTGTATCATATACTATTCTTTTCACCAAAAAATTTGGTAGAGGCGATTATAATATAACAAAAAAAGAAAGCTGCATTTTGGCGACTGAAGTTCAATAGCATTTTCGTCAATCTAGATGTAACGGTCCAAACCCACCGCTAGTAGATATTGTCTCTTTGAGCTTTCCGTTTTGGGATTTCCCTTAATGTTTTTAAAACGCAGGTGGGGAGAGGTTTCCACATCCTTATAAAGAATGTTTCATTCTCCTCCCCAACCGTTGTGGGATCTCACAATCCACCCTCTTTGAGGCTCAGCCTCCTCGCTAGCACACTGCCTTGTGTCCATCTCCCCCTACGGGGCTCAGCCACCTCGCTGGCACATCATTAGCGGTGGGCTTGGACCGTTACAAATGATATCAGAGCTAGACACCGAGCAATATGTCAGCGAGGAGGCTAAACCCTGAAAGGGGTGGACATGAGGCGGTGTGCTAGTGATGTGCTAGCGAGGAGGTTGAGCCCTGAAGGGGTGGACATGATGTGGTGTGTCAGCGATGTGCCAGCGAGGAGGCTGAGCCCCGAAGGGGGGTGGACACGAAGTGGTGTGCCAGCGAGTAGACTGAGCCTCGAAGAGGGGTGGACACAAGGCAGTGTGCCAACGAGGAGGCTGGGCCACGAAGGAGAGTGGATTGTGAGATCCCACATTGGTTGGGGAGAAGAAGGAAACATCCTTTATAAGGGTGTGGAAACCTCTCCCTAGCAAACGCATTTTAAAACTTTGAGAGGAATCCCAAAAGGGAAAGCAAACTTGAGGGGAATTACAAAAGAGAAAATCTAAAAAAGACAATATCAGCTGGCGGTAGGCTCAACTAATTACGACATTATAATCGCAACAAAAAAATCATTAGAGATTTGAATCCTCATATTTTTGTTAAACTGAAAACAAAGAAAAAAAAGAAATCAACTAGAACTTCAATTGTGGTTTCCCATTTTGGAACTTAATTGATAATCTTAAGATCACAGTTTCTGAGACAGTATCCATGTGTTTGATGGAAACAGAGTTTACAAAGAACAAGAAGGAGAAACGTACCAGTAAGTGAGTGGAAGCAATGGAGGTGGAATCCATCAGCTTCAATGAGTTGAACACCCAAACAGCCGGCTATAGGCGAAGTGTGCTGGGAAATGGCATATGCATCGAATGCCATAAACTCGCCACTCTCAAGCTATCGTTCGTATCCATATTTCAAAACGAACCCATTAAGAGAGTCAATCCAAAATGGATTTATGAATCAGTAAAATGTGGATTGAAAATCTCATAATCACATTCCTATGTGAGATGAAAAACTGAAATCTTGGGAGTTGACAGAAATCTGAATTTCGAATTGCGTAAAGGAGGAGTTTCAATGGGTTGAGTACCTTGTAGAAGATCAAGCCCCCAGATTTGTCGATGAAGTAGAGGCCGTAAACTTTGGAAAACTTAATAATGAGATGAAAAAGTATTTCTTCCCGAATGCTATTTTATCCTATCCGAGAAAGGGTTAACACCTAAAGATGTCCATTTTATCTGAGAACGGAGTTAAAAGACCTGCCCCAAACTAATAGAGATTCTCCGATCTCTCCGTTTAGACGGAGAACGTCGGAGGTAGTAGAGAATGAGTTGGGGACAAGATTGTATTCCCCAACTTCTGGAGAATGGCAAAGGGATTCTATTCCCCGTTTTCTAGAGAATGTTGGAAGGAGTAGAGAATGGGTTCGGGACAAGATTATATTCCCCACCTTCCGGTCACCGCCTAAATCTCCGCCCGCTATCCACACCCCATTTAATATAAAAATATATTTAAGTAGATATTCAAGTAGGTTGATTCATGAAACTAAATTAAGTCTTCAATACTGAATTGAGATGGACTCAAATTAAGCTTGAATCAAAGGAACTAAATTGAAAAACTTGGTAATGTGCCAAGCCTTTAACCTACAACTTAAACTATATATAACTTCAAATTCTATGACAATCATCTTAATTCCATTTTTTCAGCTCCACCCTTGTGTTCTTCATCTTGTTTCTGCCATTTTTTTCTCCATTTTCCACCTTCCATTTCTTCTCAAATCAAGTAGAAACGTCCTTCTAACTCCAAAGATGTTCATGTGTCTCTACGAAGAGTGCTCTTCTCTTTGGACGTGCCTGCAAGCAAACAATACCTACCCATCCCCCCTCCCTGATAAGCTACACAAGAGGATCCAACGCTATCCGTGAAGGGGCCAAAGACCGAGCTCAAAAGAGCTCTTGACAAACCTGAAAATCTCAAATTACCAAAAAAAATATGAATGTAGCCACAATGTAGAAAGTTTTTCCTCATATAAACTCGAAAGGAAAAGCTAGAGACACAAAGCGGCATACGTATAGCTTAGGCTTTTGTTATGTGCTGATGGCTTAAGAATCTAATCAGCACAAGACCGTCCATAAGCACATTGGTTTCAAACAATATCCATATTTATGGATAGCATACTCCATATCTACAAACAGCTTTGTTTCAGATATTTCCTAATGCAATGAAAGCTATTCCTAAAATTTCAAAAGAAAGAACTTGAACAACAAGATGCAAGACACTAATGCAGGAAATGAATACTAACCCATCTATAAGCACATCACAAACGACAGTCACATAAATAGAAACATGCCTAAGTCAAGTGTAACAGCCCCAAGTCCACAGCTAGCAAAATCGAGCTGGGATCCAACCCATCTATTACATATCGCAATCAGCCTCACGATTTTAAAACACATCTCTTAAGGAGAAGTTTACACACCCTTGTAAGAATTGCTCCATTCCCTTCATCTAACAATCCACCCCCTTGGGGGCCAACGTCCTCACTGGCACACCGCCTAGTGTCTATCTCTAATACCCAACAACCAAAGCACACTGATAACAAAAATTATCCGTTTTGGCCCGTTACCTATCGCAATCAGCCTTGCAGTTTTAAAACACATCTGCAGATTTCCACACCCTTATAAGGAATGCTTCATACTCGTCTCCAACCGAGGTGAAATCTAACAATATGAAATTCAGATATCTTCCATACCATGGAGCGTAGAAAAACTTGACAGACATGATTGGTATCAAAAGTGTAAAGTCCATAAGCACAATGTAACAGACAAACCACAAAACTATCGGCATGGATGTGTGTATGTAGATAGATATATGCCATAGTATACATAGTTTCACCTCACTTTGTAGAAGGAAATTCAAAAGACACCATGGCAGTAGTGTAGCTTAGGTATTTGTTATGTACCAATAACGATAATGAATTGGCACAAGACCGTCCATAAGCACATAATCACATCATCTACAGCCAGATAATTAAAAACAGAACAACGTAGAGATTCAGATAATCTCAATAACATCGACAACTTTTCCTCGAAATAAATCCGCAAAAAAAGAAACATTAACTCAGTGCATCTCACAGGAGATCATCGAAATATCAAATTTTACAGTCTCCTACCAATATCAGTAATGAACATATGAACAGAAATACACAAAACAAGTTCACATAGAAGATCCCAATTAAGAACATAGATGCGAAAACACAACAACTTTCACAAGCCGTAGGCAAAAGAACGAACGAACAAAACCCAAAAAATTAAGCAAAAGATTCGAGATGTTAATCGAAAAATAGACAAAAATTGGAGCAAACCCATCAGCCATATGGTGCTAATTAACAGGATGATCAAGCCCCAAAACGAAACATCTTGCGAATTCAAATCAAAGAGTTCAGCAAAGGAATGTGCCTCCCGGGGCCAAGAAACGTAGAGGCAGGGGAGTGAAAGCTGGGTTTTATATAGAAGAAGGGTTGCGGCGCCAAGGCTTACGGCGGTGTTCAGGGCTCTCTAGGGTTATCAGTTGCCACTAAATCGATCTATTTTATAAATAATTTAAAAGCATTTTCCTCTAAAATAAAGATTTTATTTTTCTTTAATTTTATTTACATTTAAATCCAAATTTAATTCCTAAAATTTGATGAGTATTTTATTTTATAGGTTTAAAAACTAATTAATATACTAGATATAAAATTTAATTTAAATTAATAAAAATACCTATATACTTTATCTAAAAACTAAACATCGAAAAATTTTAATAATATTTTTAAATTAAAAAAGTTAAAAAATACATTTATCCGTTAGTTTTGGATTAAATTCATTAATATTTGTATCTGAAATTTTAATAATATTTAAAAAATATCATTAAACTTACAAAATTCATTAATATCCTTCAATTTTTTAAAGAGAAAAAAAATATATATAAAATTTTAAAATATAATTAACCCTCTGTACCTTTGTAAAAAAAAAAAAAATTAAACAAAATTAAAATTCTTTCCGCTTCTTCCGGTAAAATGTCCACCCCTAACCCAGCAGATAAAGTACATTACATAGTCCATTTAGGGATAGGCGACTTACCCATTCAGTGACTTTGGCATTGGACGTTCCAAAAATGGAATACTATCAAGTCGGGTGAATTCAATAATAGACGCCGGTTGTCATTTCAGCCTTCCTTCTCCTTTCAAGGTCTACCCGAAAGAGAATCCAATGTTTCCGGGATGGTTGTGATTTTAGGGACTTTCGGGGTTTATTGTGGAATTTGAATGGGGTAGTGGGGCCTACGTTCGTCTAGGGTTGCAATCCTCTGCGGTCACTGACAATCTGGTTTCTGTGCTCTCAGGGTGGGTCCTCTCCTCCTCTGGTTAGAATTTTGTAATTAATTTTTTTAAATTAGGTTTAATCGATAAAAATATTATTAAATAAAAAATTGACATATAAATTAATTAAATATAAAAAGCGGAAATAAATGATTTTTTTATGGTCGATTGGATGGCTTCCGCCTGTTCAAATATTTCAAACCACGGGGCGGTTTGTCCTAATAAGATATTCACGACCAAGAAACACTGGATTCTCTTTCGGATAGGCTGAAATGCCAACAAGCGTCTATTATTGAATTCACCAGACCCGATAGTACCCCATTTTTTGAGCGTGTTAAAGAGAGGTTTACACACTCTTATAAATAATGTTTCGTTCCTTTCTCTCCAACCCATATGGAATCTCACAATTTTGTTTTATTTCTCTTAACCAGTTTTGAGTGTATTAAGAGTCGCTATCGTTCTTATATCCAACGAAGAACGAGATGAATGCACTACACGTCTTCGAATACTGAAAGCTAACGTAGATGCTATAATAGATACTAGAATTATCCAAATATTTAGACTTATTCAATCATTTTTGTTTCCACTAATAGAAAATTTCAAAAGTATCATCGTCATAGAAGTTTTGAACGAAGACGCTAGTATCATTATTCACATTCACATTTTCGTCACATCAATTATTTTATAATTAGTAATAAAATTGAATCGGTCCATGCATGAGACAGATGAATACTGATACCTACATTTTTGTTTTGTTTTGTATTAATATAAAATATATATTTTTAAATATGTGTGAACTGGCCGGTTGACTGGTCATTTTTTTTCCACCAGATCCACAGCTAGCCGATATTGTCCTCTTTGGGCTTTCCTTTTCGGGTTTCCCCTCAAGGCTTTAAAATGGATATGCTAGGAGAAGGTTTCCACACCCTTACAAATGGTGGTTTGTTCTCCTCCCAACCAATGTGGGACATCACAATCCACCCCCTTCGAGGCCCAGCGTATTCGCTGACACTCTTTCCTTCCTCCAATTGATGTGGAACCGCTCCTAAATCCACCTCGCTTTGGGGCCAGTGTCCTTACTGGCACACCGCCTCGTATCTACCCCCCTTCGGGGAACAGCGAGAAGGTTAGCACATCGTCCGGTGTCTAGCTCTGATATCATTTGTAACGGCCCAGATCTACCGCTAGCAGATATTGTCCTCTTCGGGCTTTCCCTTTCGGGCTTCCCCTCAAGGCTTAAAAAACGCATATGCTAGGAGAAGGCTTCCACACCTTTACAAATGATGGTTTGTTCTCCTCCCCAACCAATGTGAAACATCACATCTAAACTCTAGACCGATTAGCGATGTCCCTACAGAGACTAAACCTAAATAAGTTTATCAAAAGTAAACGAAAAATTTCACAGGAACAAGTGGCGGGGACGGGTTGAAACCCACTTGCTTATCGATCCGTAGTTTAATTATTTAGTAGCATTAAATATGAAAAATAATTTGAAAATGCTATTAAAATTATTTTGAAATTTGTTTTAAAAAATTAATATATATTTTTTATTTTTATTTTTATTATATAAAAGGATGTTATGGTGGGCGTCTAATTTAGGTGTAGCCATTATTGGACGTGCGGTTGAGCCGTAGTAACTATTTTCTGCATGTTTCAGAGCTTAGGTCGGTGGTGCATTAAATTCTTGTCTACATATTAAATCAAATTTGTTGAATTGTGGTAAAAAAAAAGTTTAAAATTTCTCGAGCGCTTATTCATTCTGATCCTTATTCTCGTGTTTCAAACACAATTCTCTTAAAATTATAGCACTTGAGAGCATTTGGTATTAAGAATTATACATAACTCATATGATTAAGACAAATAACGCTTCATCTTTTTTCTTGGATCTTTGTTATGATCATCTCGGGTGTTGATTGTTCTACTCCGTTACTGTCATCCATATTTAACAAAGACCCATTTGATTTGGTATGAAGCTCGTTTTTCCATTTAACCTGTAAGGAACCTGCTTTGAATGAGCCGGGAGTAGAAGAGGGAGTGAGATGAGATTTTTTATCGTTAGTTAAATGGAGCTGGGATGAGCATTATATTCTCGGTTCCCTCTCTACTCACACCAGGCCTCATCTCCATATTCTTTAGTATATTGAAGTTCTTTTTTTTAAGTGTTTGAAAATCGCAGTAATATTAAAATTTGAATTTTTAGAAATTATACTATCAATATTTACTTATAAAATATAATTACATCTAGTTGAACACTTTTTTTTAAATAGAAATTCACTAAAAATTATAAATAATATATTAAATAGATTCGTTGACATGAATTATCTTGTCATTTTTGGGAATGTAACTGCTCAAACCCACTAACAGATACTGTCTATTTTGACTCGTTACTCATTGTCATTAACCTCACGGTCTTAAACGTGTCTGCTAGGGACATGTTTCCACACACCTTACAAGAAAACACTTCGTTTTCCACACTTCAATTGGGGAAGAGAATGAGACACCCTTATAAGGGTGTGAAAACCTCTCCTAGTAGACACGTTTTAAAAACCTTGAGGGGAAGTCCGTAAAGGAAAGCCTAAAGAGAACAATATGTGGGAGTACTGATCTTGGACCGTTACAAATAGTATCAGAGCCAAACACCAAGCAATGTGCCAGCAAGGAGGGTTGTTCCCCGAAGGGAGGTAGACACAAGACAATATGTCAGGATGCTGCCTGAAGGAGGGAGGATTTGGTAGGAGTCCCACATTGATTGGAGAAAGAAACGAGTGCCAACGAAGATGCTGAGCCTTGAAGGAGGTAGATTGTGAGATCACACATCGGTTGGAGGAGAACGAAAAAACACACTAAGAAAGATAACAATTAATAACTCCACTTTCGTGCAAGAAACTAGTGAAATCAATTAGTTAAAACAACGGTAATTAATAAATATATATCAAATATGGCTAGAATTAATAACTCAAATCAATGAGTCAAAACACCATTAATTGCTTGGAAAGTAGCATTAATGATCAAATATGCTAGAATTTGATGGAAAAAAAAGAGAAAAAACACGAAAACAATTAGTAACTCCATGAAACACCCTTTATAAGGGTGTGGAAAGCAGCTGGCTT